TCGACCTTCTGCCACTCTCCTGTCCTCCTGGGTCTCTCTCTGGGGGGGATAAGCCCAGTGTTGGCCCGTGCTTTTCCTAATCAGGGACCCAGGACTTGGTTCTGCTCTGCAAGCCTTGCTGGGGGACAAGACCCTTCTCCTGTCCCTTTTTCAGCCTCATGACCCTCAGCCTCTTCCAGCTTCTCTGAGTGGCAGGTGAGAAGCAGCCGTCAAGAAGGCGAGTGTCTCCAGCCCTGCGGAGAAGGACTTGTGATATTAATGGGCAAAACATTGGACATGACCCAGGAATGTGCGCTCGCAGCCCAGAAAGCCAACCATATCCTGGGCTGCATCAGAAGAAGTTTGGCCAGCAGGTCGAGGGAGGGGATTCTGCCCCTCTGCTCCGCTCTGGTGAGACCTCACCTGCAGTTCTGCGTCCAGCTCTGGGGTCCTCAGCACAGGAGAGACAGGGACCTGTTGGAGCAGGTCCAGAGGAGGGACACAAAAATGACCAGAGGGCTGGAACATCTCTCCTATGAGGAAAGGCTGAGAGAGAGTTGGGGTTGTTTAGCCTGGAGAAGAGAAGGCTCTGGGGGCACCTTGTTGCAGCCTGTCAATACTTAAAGGGGGCTTATAAGAAAGACAGAGAGAGACTTTTTACGAAGGCCTGTATACAGGTTAAGGGACAACAGTTTTAAACTGTAAGAATGTAGATTTAGATTGGGCATAAGGAAGACATTTTTTATGGTGAGTGTGGTGAGGCACTGGCACAGGTTGCCCAGAGAGTTTGCAGCTGCCCCATCCCTGGCAGTGTTCAAGGCCAGGCTGGATGGGGCTGTGAGCAACCTGGTCTAGTGAAAGATGTCCCATAGCAGGGCGGTTGGACTAGATGATCTTTAAAGGTCCCTTCCAACCCAAATCATTCTACAATTCTATAAAAAGGGGTAAAGTCAGTGCCACTTCCCCATGCAGCCTGGACTTTGCCGTTCTACTCTGCCCTTTGCCTGGTCCATGCACGTCCCTCTTCTGCGCAGTCACACTGCACGAAGGCAGTGGCTGAACATGTCTGCTGTGCTGTCGTCAGAGGTTGTCTCATTCCTGTGCATTGATCTTTGGAGTATGGTGGGTGAAACAAGGGACAGCAGCAGTGTGATGCCCCAGGGCCAGGAGGTGCTGGGAGGCAGCTTTGGTAGTGACACCGCTTATAGGGAGACAAATCCCTGCCTTGCTGCAAAGTCTCAGGTCTGAAAAGAATTGCTGGCCAGAGACCTCATTTAAAAGAAACAAGCTGGGCTCATGGGAAAGAGGAAAGCTTTGTAGATGCCTGGTTTCAACTTCCCCCCGTGGTGCTTTTTATCTGTGCATGAAAAGCTTCTTGTCCTCAAAGTCCCCATGCTGCTTGCCAGGGCCTTCCTTCACCTCTGCCTTTGCTCCCAGTAAGCCGATGTCCCCACCCGTGGCTCTCAGTCTAGACCTCAGCTCCGAGCTGCCTTGAAAGGCCGTCCTGAGGAATTAGAGCTGCAGAGCAGGGGCATGGGCATAACTGGGTGGATGAGAAAGACATTCAGAGGAAGGACAGGACACCTCAGGGAGGATAAGTGAGAACTGGGCTAGAAGTGCATCCTCAGCCAGCGAGGACAACTTGTCCAATGTCTGTCCTCCGTGCTGCTGCAAGGAATCAGGCAGACCGCCTGGACGTATGCAGGTTACTGCCTCAGTGCTGGGTGGAAACACAGGGACACCCACGTCTTGGTGCTCCTGAGTGAGCAAAATTAGTTTTGTTTTAATGCCAGTCACCATCCCTTCCTGTAAGGGCCAGCATTGAGCTTTGCTGTATGTTGGTGCAGCGTTATGATGTGGTTTCTTAGAGAATTACAGCATGGGAAGGAGCTGGTGCTGCTGCAGTGTCAGGCAGAGATACAGGATGTAAATTGGTAGGAAATTAGGGCTCTATCATTCAGGGAACTCCTGGCCTAATGTGAGAATTAAATGAGTGTGTAATGACTGTTCAGTGCACGTTACGTGTTCTCTCTGCCCGGTCACAGATGGTGCGTTTATTATTGCTCTCTGCTATAGGTTTTTCCTCTCTTGTTCGGCCCATAGTGCCCAAAATATTTTTTTCCAGGGTTATTTGACTCATAAAATCCTCTCCAGGCCAGATAAACAATTAATTTAAGGAATAAATAGGGAGTAACACCAATGACAGTATCTAAATACACCAGGGAAGGGGTAAGGTCCTTCGCCTCAGACCCGTCTGCTCCAGGGCCAGCTGTGGGCCTTTGGAGGGAAGGGGGTAACACAGGAAGGTCTGGCCTCAAATTTCTAGGACTGGACTTGAACTTTTCCCATCCAGCTGAATATCCTTCCTCCTAAAGACCAAATGGTATCACTGGAGAGGGCAGGAATTTGGTCCATCAGTCCCCAAAAGAAAATGATGATGAAGCACTAGCAGAGTGCAAAGCTGATGGTCTCTCTGATGGCTTTTCTGCCCTTGGAGCTCAGCTCTACATCAGCTGCTGCTCCATACACCCTGACCTGCTCCATACTCCCTTTTGTGGAGTTCCTCACCTGGGGCTGATGCTGCCAGGACTTACATTGCCATGAGACGTTCCAGGCTCCTGGACTGTGGACAGTGTTCATGTGCTGACAGGCACAGTCTCCAGCAATTTTTTTTAAGATGGCAAGGGGACACACGGGGTTACTGTATTCCTAGAGCTCTCGTCGTATCTCCAGCCACCTGACAGAAGAGACTAACACCCACCTTGCTATAACCTCCTTTCAGGTAGTTATAGAGAGCGATCAGGTCTCCCCTCAGCCTCCTTCTCTCCAGGCTGAACAGCGCCAGTTCCCTCAGCCGCTCCTCACAAGACTTGTGCTCCAGACCCTTCACCAGCTTCGTTGCCCTTCTCTGGACATGCTCCAGCACCTCAGCATCTTTCTTGTGGCGAGGGGTCCAAAACTGAACACAGGACTCGAGGTGCAGCCTCACCAGACCAGGTGGAGCATGTCAGCCTGCCAGTGGCCATCACCGTGGCCCGGGGTAAGTGACTGGAAATGGGGAGATCAGAAAGTCTTGAGGAGAGTTGCTTCTAGCTCTACGGGGACAGCAGGAAACTAGGAAAGATATTTGGGGGGAAAACAAGGTCCAACCTGGGCTTTTACTCTCTGGACTGCTCTTCCAACAGAAACAGGCTCTGGATCTGCTGTGAGCAAGAAGGTGACTGGAACTCTGGGCTTTGTTCTGGGCTTAGGCTTCATCATGGTGGTACTTGTCATCTATCAGAAGAAAAAGAAGGGTGAATTATTCATGAGCTAAGTAGAAACCCATTCTTAATGGGGCTGCAGAGGGATGTTTTAAAGCCTGTAAGGCTTCACTAGAATTTAGATTTACCATGATAATTTCCTTGGGTTCCCAGCATTCAAGTGGGTTTTATATGGTCTAATCCAATATCCGCAGAAGCCAGTGATAGCTTTTAATTTATTTTAACTGATGTTAGATTGGGCTTTCAGTGATGATAAGCCATTTTAGAACTATCATCAGCCGCTGAAAGGTCAGCCCAGTCCTCTGAGATACAGTCCTAGGCTATGGTTATGGTTTCTTATGAGTATCAAATTAGCTACTTCATTCCCAAATGTTTCCACATTGCTTTGTTGCAGACATATTTTGTAGACTCTAGAAGCAAATACATTCATACTTATTTATAGAAGGATTAAATACCTTTCTTTTGAAATTGTGCAGGGGGAAAGAGAGAACATTATCTTCCAGAAAGCTGCATTCTTGTTCTCAAACTGTTGGTTTGCTGAGTAACAGTATCCTATCCGAGCCTTTGCTTTTTCCTTTCTAATAATTTAAGATTATTAGAATCACAAACAAGTACTGGGTAAATGATTGTTGTGTGATATTTTCCGTGGTGCAATGAGGAATATCCCTCAGCTTAATCCTGTACTGTTATTTGTTCCTAAGCAAACTCCCTTAAGCAAGCCAAATCCAATGTAGCCCTTTGCGCCCATCAATTCTCAGCCTATGGGTTTAGGTCACCAC